TTCATCTCCCAGAGACCCCCACCAAGAAAACAAGTTAAAAGCATGCTGCTGATTTTTATGTTATGACCCACCTTCCTGAAAATAAAAAGACTGGGATTAGCAAAATTATTTTAAGACTTATTTTAAGAATTTAGTAACAAGTTCATTAATTCATCCCCTCAAGAAATGTCACCTTTGGCACAGCACAGAGCCATTGCTGCTCCCAGCATGGTGTCAGAGGAAAGGGCACCTGATAATTGGGCAGGTGGAAAAGGAATTAAATAGCAAAACTAAATATTAAAGCAAATCTCTTCATTGGGAAAGAGCTCTGACCCTGACACTGGGAACTGCAGGGAGTAGAGCAATCTTGTTTTCTGGAAGTACTTAGGCTCAGGATGGTGTCGAATCTTCTGGTTTAAGATAAAAGCAGCAAGTGGACCCCGTGACTCCTGGCCTTCTGCGGGCCTTTTGAACCTCTGACTCATCAGTTCCTTGTTATTTTCTGTTAACAGGCTTGCGTACTCGTCAAGCCTTCTTAGCTTGAACAGGAAGAGGACACACTATACGCCAAGGTTATGCAAACCCTTAGATGGGGGCTGAGTAAGAGGAGTTGACATTTAGTGGAGACAATTCTCACAAACATTTCTTATCTCAGAGAAGTTACAGCTCCTGACGGCTTCAATCTTTCATTTTAAAGATTTCTATTGATTGGGTAAGAATCATACACATTTTGTCCACAGTGCAGAGATATCAAAGCAAACTTTCCCCCTAGTGCCATTTCCCTCAGGGGATGGGAATGATTGATTTTTATTGGTTCAGCTTCTAGGGTACTCACATCTCAATCCAGCCAATTTTCTGTGGCGAAGGCCCACTCCAGTCTACTTAATTGTATTTTCTAACCAAAGAGTTGAGGGAGATTTGTCATCTTTACAGTCCAGAAGAGATGAATCTCCAGTCTCCTCTTCCAATTGTGGGGGCTTGTTTCCAAAGCCAATATTCAGTGGGAGGGAGCCAGGGCTTGGGGGTGGGGGAGGAATCAAGTACAAACATAAAGCTGAAAAGCAGTGACTGTGATGCAGGCAAAGAAAATAATCAGGGCATGAAGGAATTGAAAGGTCTAAAGAGAAACAATTTGTTCCATGCTTTCCTAACTTTTATTGGGCAACAATTACTGGAAGTATTCTTTCATTTGACGCTGAACAAGGAAGCCCATATATTAACTAAAAAAGTCAGTCCCTCCATTCTCTAATTACATTTCCTTCTCTGCTCTTTCTCCGTGCTCCTGTGAGCTGCCCCTCACTCTCATCCCCACTTATTTTAACCTTCATTTAATCTCATACTAAATTCCCCAAGTGTCACCTCCTTCACAATAGCTTATTCTGGACAAGACCATTGCAAATTCACAGATTAGGAAAGCTATTGTATGCTCATTCTTTGGAGAAGTGAACACCCAAGGACAAGAACAGGCCCCTCCCTATTCCATTAACAAATGAAAAAAACTGTCCCAGGCAGATACCTTCTACAGACTGCCATCTTCCAGTTGGCCCAGTCATGTGCACAGCCCTGTCAAATAGACACACAATCTGCCCTGCCCCTCAGGGTGACCCCAAGTGTGCAGAGCAGAACCGCCCCACAGGGGCTTCAAGGCCAGGAACTTCCAGGAACAGATCACCAGGCACGTCTTCCAAAGCACCTCTGAGTGGGTTTGAACCGCTGACCTTACAGCTAGTAGTCAAACACTTAAGTCTTTGTGCCACTCAGGGTCTCCCTCCAATTCTATAGAATTTACATTATGCATGCTGTTTTTGTTTTGTGCATGGGCGTCTTTCCTCTTCCAAATTCCACTATAATTACTGGTTAAACTAACATTTCTGCAGACGCAGTCGGAGTGTCTTCTTTTACTCCTACAGAACCTGGTTAAGACTTGTATAATGTTACAATATAATACCAATATAAAAGAAGCAATATTACTTTGTTTTTCACAAAAGCCCATCAAAAACTAGACAAATAGTTTGAAGTTTCAAAGAAGTCACCTCAAACTTCCTGAGATTTTCCGGCAATGTTGCCATTGTTTGTTGCAGGGTTTTGTTTTATTTTCTTGTGGGTTACTTTGGTCTTCACAGCCTGTTTGCAAAACTTGGAAACTGTCTTATTAGTTTGTGTTGTTGTTTTAGTGTACAATGGAGTCAGAACTGACACAAACCTGACCCTGTGGTGGGTTTTCTGAGGCAGTTAATCAAACAGGAGGAGATTGTAACTCCTCCTGCAAAGCAGCTGGTGGATTTGAACCTCATGCCTTTGGGATTGGAAGGAAGATTCTCACAAATAGGCTACCAGAGCTCCCTTATAACTTCATAATCAATCATATTTCTTGTATTCAGATAGCAGTGAGGAGTCCCTTACTGGCACAAATTGTTAGTGAACTCTGTTGTTAAAAGGCTAGAAATTCAAGTCCACTTGGTGTAGCCTTTTTTAAAAAGATCTGGTCATCTACTTCTGAAAATCAACCCTTGAAATCCCTATGGTGCCCACTCATCAGACTCAGCTCACCAGCAACTGACGAGAGGCCAGGAAGGAAACGTGTTCTAGCTCAGTCTCTCCCTCACCTTCTCTCTCACTTTCTCTCACTGTAGTTCAGCTCAGCACAACTCACTCCCATCAATTCAGTTCCTATTCATAATAAACCTTCATTGTGGTTTCCCAGAATAGAAATCACAATGAGAGAAGACTGCCCATCTTTCTGTGCTATTGTTAGATTCACACTGCCAGACATGCACAGCCTTTGCATTAGCTGTTCAACTCACTACAGCCCAGGCTTTATCTAGAGCTCTAGCCTCTCTGAGAGGAGGTGGAATTTAGCTTTGGTGACCTAGTGATGAGGAGTTGTACTGTCAACCCAAAGACAAGCAGTTCAAATCCACCAGCTGCTCTGTGGAAGAAAGATCAACAGTCTCTTCTCATGTGATTTACTGCCTCTGAAAATTCACTGGAGGGTCAGCTATGAGTCAGCTCTGACTCAAAGGCACATAAAACAAGAATCTCTGTGATACACACCATGCTGTACACAGACAACATCAGGCCATTACTACTGAGCCCTGCGGGTGATTGGAACAGAGCAAACAGCTCTTGAAATGTTTCATGAGAAGTAAATGGATTTTTCTCAGATACAGAGATCTGTTATTTTTCTGCGTGTGAGTAAGTGTGTGTGCGTGAGAGAGAGAGAGAGAGAGAGAGTGTGTGTGTGTGTGTGTGTGTGTGTGTGTGTGTGTGTGTGTATGCACATGCATGCAAGTGGAGGCTAATTTGTTAGCTTGCAAAAAAGGGTAACATTTTAAACCTAAGCCAGTTCCAATTTAACAAGAAGACAAGAATTATTATGATGCCCTTGTGTATTAATCAAATAAACTACACAAATAAGGGCTTCTTGATGGTGTAATTAGCAGGTAGACCTCTTCAGCAGATGCCAAGGACTTTGCCTGTGAGCATATCTTCTTGCCTCACAAGTTATTGTTCACTGTGCGTAAAGTACGGTCATTGCTTTTGAGAGCCTCAACATGCTCAGTCCTCCGGCAGTTTATGAGCTGCAGAATAATACTTATTTACTTATATATTTTTACATCAAAAGAAAAATTATTTTCATGAGAGAAATATACCAAGCACAAAGGGAGATAAGAAGAAATCAAGGTTCTTTTGGATTGTGCACCTTGCAGAGTGCTTGTCAATCACAAGTTTCATGGTTCAAACCCACTAGCCACTTGGAAGAAGAAAAATGCAGCAGTCTGCTGATGTATAGATGTATAGCCTTGGAAGGCCTGTGGAACATTCAGTGTCATTCTACAGAGTTGCTTCAAGTGAGAACTAATGCAACATCAATGTGTGTAACTACTGAGATATGAGGGAGTAAAGGATGAATCAAGGGGTTTTCACGGAGAGCAATTTTCAATATTTGCATCCATCACTTTCCTAAAGACACAGAAGCTGAGCTGATTTCATTTGTGAATAGCACAAAGACATGGCCAAAACACTCCCTGGGAAAAAGCAAGACTCTTGATATTTAGACAAACCTAGTAACTGAAAAAGTGAAAATAATTGTCATTAGGAAGGTGGCTAACAACAATATACGTTAAAGGGAAAAAAGCTAAACAGAAAGGCGTTACTGTGAAGTGTTGCATATTGTTATGTGCAGTCGAGTCACCTGCCACTCATAGCAACCCTATGTACCGCAGCTCTGAAGCCTGCCCTGTCCTGAGTTAGTCTCACTGTCTCCAACATACCCCATTGCCCTAGTTACTGTATCAATCCATCTCATCCAGGATCTTCCTCTCCTGAACTGTCCCTCCACCCTCTGAGTATGACGTCTTTCTCCAAGGATTGGTTCCTCCTGGTCACATGACCAAAGTATGTGAGATGGAGCTTCAAAATCCTAGCCTCCAAGAAGAGGCTTGGTTTAACACTCTCTAAGACAGATATTCATTATCTTGGTGGTCCATGGTATGTTCAAGACTCTTCTCCAGCACCATAACTCAAAGGTATCAATTTTCTTTTGTCAACCTTAGTCACTGTCCAACTGTCTGAAGCATAGCAAGTGATTGAGAAGACCATGGCGTGGATCAGGTGCAGCTTGGTCTCTAGACTGACATTGTTATTTCTCAGTACTCTGAAGAGGTTCCTGACAGCAGATTCGCCTAATGCAATTCATCTTTTGATTTCCTGACTGCTGGTGTCAAGAGGGTAGATTGTGGATTTGAGTAAGCTATAACTGTTAACAAGCTCAGTCTCCTCTCCACCCATCATGGTGCTGCCAATTGGCCCAGTGGTGAGAATCTTTGTCTTCTTGATGTTGAATTTGAATCCAACAACAGTCCTTGACCTTTTGTTTTTTGTTTGTTTTTTTTTCAAGATTAATGATATTTTATTGCGTGACAGTTTAATAAAGGAAGAAATTATTGTGGTCCATGTAGAAAGTTGATGAAGATTTTGAAAAGTTCCTTTCCGAGTCTTTCTTTGCAGTAATACTTGAGCATCAGTTAGCGTTTAATGCTTGATTCCAGTAAGTCTTTAGCTTCATTTATTTTGGCTGCTAAATAAGGAGACCCACCTTTATCTGGGTGGTTCAAAATCATGATTCTCCTGTGGGCTGTTCTAATCTTGGCCTTGTCAGCAGATGGGCTTACACCTAAAATAAGACTAGCTTCTCGTCTACTCATTTTCTGTTCAAATCCTCCTTTATAGTAGGGTGAAAAGCTAGACTTTGAGATCTTTTTTGCAGTTTCTGTGATTACTTGTTCTAGAGGTTTCCAGATCTGAAATGCATAGCGACCTGCAAATGCAAAGGCTGCAACACCCAGTCCTACAGCTATTAAACTTCTTGCCAGTAGGTGGTTGATGTCGGCGTCTGATCGTTTGGCCGAGGGCGGCAAGTACTCGGCATAGAGCAGCCCCTCGCCGGCAGGGGCGACGTCACCAGGAGCAACCATGGCAATAGCGGCCCAAGGAGACGCTCGGCGTGCGCCGCTCACTTACGAGGCGACCTCAGGGACAAACTCAGTCCTTGACCTTTTGTAGCAAACGCTTCAGGTTCTCCCCATTTTCAGCAAGCAAGGTTGTATCATCTGCATAACATAGGTTGTTGATGAGTCTTTCTCCAATCCTGATGCCACATTCCTCCTCATAAAGCCCAGGCTCCTGAATGATCTGTAGTTGATAATAATGAAAGTAAACTCAATCATTCACTTTCATCTTGGTTACATTATTTCTAACATCTTCATTTACCCTTTAAGGCTCAAAAAAGCCCTAGAAGGAAAAATATAGGCCAGTTTTACTCTTAGAAATAAGAGGATATTGTCTCTGAGCTCATGTGACTTGACCAAAAATCACTTTAGTAGGATGTCATCAGAATCAAAGGGTGTCCACAAGAACGAGAATTCTGTGTTCTGTCTCAGGTGTAATACTGTATGAAGGTTATTAACAATGAAGGTACACCCCATTCAGGAGAGGCAGTTGAGATGATGGAGAACAGAGACTCCATGACATAGAGTATTTTCAAGAAGCTGGCCAGGACTAGAGAAAATCTAAGAAGAATCGCTGTCTATAAACATTTGCAGAGCTGTCATGTGGAAAGGAATTAGACTTGTTCTGGGAATTTTTGTGCTGCAGAACCAACAGTGGTGCATGAAAGCTAAGCTTCAGGGAGTATGAATACAGATTTCTGTATTCTATCATTCAGAACTGAGAGAGATAATAAGATCGAACCTACCATTACAAGGACAATTATAGCACAAGCTATGGCCAGCCATGGATAGAAGCTCTTGAAGAAGGAATCCCTGTCTAAAATAATAAGCCTGGAATTGAACTCTTCTAAAGTTTCTTCCAACCCAAAGATCCTATTAGTTCAACAATAATATAAAGCATCAAGAAATTCATGTTCCAATAATAGATCTTCAAAAAAATGTTTAGTCATTAAGGACCATGCTGACACCATGAACTATCACTGGATTCATCAAGGTTATAAAAATTCCATAAATAATCAGAAGGCCATTCACACATCATGACTTTATATTTTTTGCTGATCTTCATATACCTCAATGAATGATAAAAATGCATGAATTATTAGCCTAGAGAAGTTAAGTGATGAGTTTAAGGTGAGATGTCAAGAGTATGGTGAAACTAGAGCCAGAAATCTAGTCTTCTCTTAGATTTATTGAGATTCTGACAATAATATTAATAAAAAGACTAATGTTTATTTGATAGCACGCACTATGTATCATGACCTCTTTTTTAAATTTTTTTATCATGACCTCTTTTAAGTATTTTATATCTGTTATCTCATTTATTCCTGACAACAACAGTATTAGGAGAGAATTGTTAATATCCTCATTTTGTGGTAAGAAGCTGATCTACAATCCAAAGGCACGTGATTCAAATCCACCAGCTGCTCTATTGGAAGAAGGATGGGTAATCTTGTCAGGTGCAATCTGGAGAGTCAGCTGTGAGTCAGTTCTGCCTTGATGGCAAATAACAACAATAATAGTATTTCACTAGGGATCTCTGATGAATTAGTGGCAAGAAATTGTGCTGCCTATCACAGGTATGCAGTCTGAATCCACAGTTGCTTCATGGGAGACAGATGGGCAAATTCCTTTCAAGTGATTTACTGCCTCTGAAAACCTGCTGGAGGGTCCGCTATGGATCAGTTCTGACATGATGACACACACAACAGCAACAGCATACCTCTCAAAGGCATTTTAGTAGCTTAATGGGTAAAGAGTTCTACTGCCAACCCAAAGATAGGTGACTGGACTCCACTACCTGTTCTGAGGGAGAAACACGGGCGCTCTCCTCCTGTGTGATTTACAGCCTCTGAAAATTGTTTGGGTCTGTTATGGCACATAACAACAATAACCTCAACATGCCTCACTAAGGAAAAATGAAGAATTTGCTAAACAGCACATAACTTGAACAAATCTGGAGACATTACACTAAATGAAACAAGTTAGTCAAAAAGGACAAGTATTATCTGAGTTCACTGCTATAAATGTCATGTAAAAAATATATGAGCAAGAGCCTGTGGTGTTGAAGGAAGAAGTTCAAGCTGCTCTGGAAGAATTAGGGCAGGGGGAAAGGCCCTAGGAATAGAGGGCATACCAATTCAATTGACATATTTCAATAAGCAGACACTACCCTGGATGCACTCACCAAGTTGTGCCTAGAAATCTGAAGGACAACCACCTGGCCAACTGACTGGAAGCGATCCATATTTGTTCCCATCCCAAAGAAAGTTGATCTGACAGAGTGCAAAAATTATAGAACAGTATCATTAATATCACATGCAAGCAAGATTCTACTGAAAATTATTCAAAAACAACTGGAACAGCACATCAAGAGAGAACTGCCTGAAGTGCAGGCTGGGTTTAGAAGAGGCGGTGGTACTAGGGATATTATACCTAATGTTAGATGGATGTTGGCTGAAAGCAGGGAGTACCAGAGGAATGTCAAAATGTAACACAACAAACTGTCTGACTCTTAGAAGAATGGAAATCCTAGAACACTTGATAGTGCTTATGTGAAACCTATATTTGGACTAGGAGGCAGTCGTCAGAACAGAGCAAGGACATACTGCATGCTTCAAAATCAGGAAGTGTCTATGCCAGGGATGTATCCTATCTCCATATCTTTTTTAATCTATATGCAGAATAAGTCATCCAGGAGGTTGGGCTCTCTGAGGGATACAGCATCAGGATTGGAGGAAGACTCATCAGCAATCTGTGTTATGCAGATTACACAACCCTGCTTGCTAAAACAAAGGAGGAGCTGAAGTACTTGTGGCAGAAGGTCAAGGACTGCAGCCTTCAATATGGATTGAAGCTCAACAACAAGAAAACAAAGATTCTCATCTCTGGGGCGATTGCCAGCATCATGATACATAGTGAAGAGATTGAGATTGTTAACAGCTTTCGTTTGCTTGGCTCCACAATCAACACTCTTAGTATCAGTAGCCAGGAACTCGAAAGACAAATTGCACTGGGAAAATCTGTTGTCAGAGATCTCACCAGAGTATTGGAGAGCAATGATGTCAGTCTGGAGACTAAGGTGCACCTGATCTTGGTGATAGTCTTTGCAATTGCTTGCAATGCATCAAAAAGCTGTACTATAACTAGGCATGATGGCCAGAGAATTGGTGCCTATGAGCTGTGGTGCTGAAGAAGAGTACTGAATATACCATGGACTGACAGGAGAGCAAACAGATTCATCCTGAGAGGGTGAAGCCAGGCTGCTCCTTGGAGGCAAGGATTCTGAAGCTTTGATATACTTTAGGCATTCTGCAAGGAGGGACCAGTCTTTGGAGAGGGACATCATGCTTGGGAGAGTGGAGGGACAGTGCAAGAGAGTAAGACCCTTGATGAGATGGATTGATTCAGTGACTGGGGTAATGGGGGGTAGGTGTGTCAGAGACAATAAGGTTGGCATAAGATAGAGCAGGGTTCAGAGCTGTTGTACATAGGATCATTATGAATCACAGGTGACTTGACAGCACATAACAACAACACTATAAATGTTAGCTAAAGGATTAAACACAGAAAGAAATATTCCTTGACAGTTACCAGGGAAGGGAGGAGGGAGAACTCAGTAAATAGATAACTGTCATATATTAAGATGATATTTTTGGTAATTTCATTTTCCTTGGATCCACAATCAACACTCTGGACACCAGCAATTAGGAAATAAAAAAGACAAGCTGCTTTGGGAAAGTCGGTGTCAAGTACTTTCCCAGAGTCACTCTAGAGCCTAAAGTGCCCCTAATCCAGGCCATAGTCTTTGTAATTATTTTTGCTATGCATCAGATAGTTGGACAATGACTAAAGATTACAGAAGAAGAATCGATGCCTTTGAGTTCTGGTAGTGGAGAAGAGTACTGAACATATCATGTATTATACATACCATGAACTTCTGGAGAACAAACAGGTTTGAACAAACAGAGAGAGTGAAACCAGGTTGTTCCTTGGAGGCAAGGATTTTGAAACTCTGTCTCACGTACTTTGGTTATGCTGCCAGGAGGAGAAGGATATCATACTTGGAAGGGTGGAGAGTCAGCATAGGAGAGGAAGACGCTGGTTGATAAGGATTGACAGTCACTGGGTTTAGGTGGGTTTAGGTGTGTGGGAGACAGTGAGATTGGCCCAAGAAGGACACGGTTCAGAGCTGTTGATTATAGGGTTACTATGAGTCATAGTTAACACAACAGCACATAATACAACAACAACGAGATGAGTAAAGGAGAAAGTAATAAATAATAAGGAGATAATTAGCGCATACCACTGAAGAAAGGGAAGAGAAGTGCAAGAAAGACATAGTCCACAACGGTAAGCTATCACATACACAATATTGCTTTAGCAGCAATAATAAACACTAAATTACAAGTAGATATATAAATAGACAGGTAAACAGCACATATAAGAAAGGGAAAGGGATTATACCCATGATTTTGCATAGGTTTGAAAGATGATAGGACCTCTCGTGGCCTAGTGGTAAGGAATTGCATTGTCTGCCCAGGGGCATGAAGTTCAAATCTGCCAGCTACTCTGTGGGGGAAAAGATGGGCAATCAACTTCCCTGCAATTCACTGCCTCTGAAAGCCCACTCAAGGGTGAGCTTCTTACTCAACAGCATACAGGAAAAACAACATTATGTTGGTGCATTATTCAAAATTGGGAAGGGCGTACGCCAGGAATGTGTCCTGTCTCCACACCTTTTCAACCTGTATGCAGAATAGATCATCCTGGAGGCTGGGCTCTATGAGGAGAAATGTGGCATCAGGATTGGTGGAAGATCTATCAACAATCTGCGTTATGCAGATGACTCAACCCTGCTTCCTGAAACTGAGGAGGACCTGAAATGCTTGCTGAAGAGGGTCAAGGACTGCAGCCTCCAATATGGATTGAGATTCAATGTCAAGAAGACAAAGATTCTCACCACTGGAGCAATTGGCAGCATCAGAATGGATGGTGAAGAGATTGAGATTGTTCATAGCTTTAGTTTGCT